GTGTGTTTTTCCGTGGTAGGTTTTCCTGTTGTCTGCGTAGTAGGCTTTCCGGTTGTTTCCGTGGTCATCCCAGATACTTCTCGCAGGATTGAGCTAACTGTACTCGGGCCAGTCGTGGGTGCATGAGTCAGGTGTTCTTCTAGCAAACCAACGGTTGAAGGTTTCCCAGTCCCGGGGTTATCTGTTGTGATCGGTGTGGCTTGCAGACCGGTCAGTAAGATCAGTGTCGTCAGACCCAGCGGGGCCCACATAACGAAACGCATGATGTGTGGATAGATGTCTGTTTTTTCCTACCCGTTCTTCAGACGCTTGTCTATTCGAATACCAGACGCGAACGAGACCGTCTCGTTTGATTTTATCTCAGTACATCTGATCGGTCGGACCAATCGGCAAGGCGTATTCTAGCTGGTCACATGTGCGAACGACCTATCGATCGGCAAATCATTGACAAATCACTCTCTCACGAGCGGGCGCGCGCAAGCGCGCTCTGTATCAGTGATCACATTTTGTCGGACTTCTCCTCGTTCACATCACAAACACAAAGTGACTGAGGAAAGTCAAAAACACACAAACGAACGAATAGGACTGTGAAACGAAGTATGGGGCTGTGGGGTGCGGCGGGGGGGGGGGTCNCCGAAAAGACTGGCTGAGAGGCCCTGGTCATCTTGTTCGTGATCCAGATCTGCGGGTCAACAGTTCATGACCAAAAGATAATTTATTAACTTAGTTCAACTAAAAAACCATCATGGGAATTTCACACATGAGAAAATACATTACAATTATTGTATGGTAAATGTATTTAAGGAATAAATCACATTCGATTTTAGCTGACAGCGAAAGACATGCATGAATAAACATTTTGTTATCAACGTGTTAAAGATAGTCTATATACATGCTTGTTTTTTCCATGAATTAGCAAAATTAAAAAAAGGTGGAAAGTTTTCATGAGTAAAATTATTCGCGAAGTTGTAAACTTCTCAATACTCGATTGTTACGGGAAATTACTGGCAAAGTGGTGTAATATACCTGTTTTTGAATACGGTATTATCAATATATGTAATCTCCTGTTTCCTGTTCGGGTTCTAGCGGATGCAAAATGTGCATGTGAGTGTGTGTGTGTGCGTGAATGCTCACCGCACCCGCTAAATCTAGTAGGAGTTGGTAGGGGAAGGGCGGTGAATTCGATGTCAAAGTCATATGAGAAATACTTACAAGCGGCTGCTTTTCTAGCTCCATAGGGTTTAGCACAGATAAACCGATTCACAGTTCATAGAAAGTAGACGAATGTCACAATTTATCCTCTTTGTACACTGATATGGATGTTGGAATTCAGGACTTGTCAAAGCTTCATCCAGTTTGTGCTTGAAGGAACCAATTGTGGGCGCAGAAACAACGTATGGTGGTAGAGAATTCCAAGTAGTGCGCACTCTAAGGGCCCACAACTGACACCGGCATTCTAGTCGGCAATTTTGGAGCACTAATTTGAATGAGTGCCCCCTTAGGTGGGTGTTGGGCGACAAGCCAAAGAGTAAACGACATCGGTGATCTGAGTTCTGCATTATTTGATACACCAAGATCAAGTCCCCTCGAATGCGGCGATACTGTGTGGAACACAGTTGCAGTGATTCCAGTATTTCCGTGTAACTCCTTTTGGTGGCCATTCTTTGTGGACGTTCCAGAATCTTAAGATTGCCTTGCAGTTATGCATTCTACGCTTGAATAGCATACTCCATGTAGGGCCGAATGTAGGCTGGTAACAACCTGGGTTTACTCGATCAAATGCTTTGGAGAAATTGGGGTACATAACGTCCACTGCTTCACCGTGATCAGCTGTCCAAATGAACGAAGTGATCTGACCGAACAAGGAGGGGCCAGTTCGCACTTCTGATTCTCTAGATGACACCAGTGTACACCCGCGTCAGTTCTTCTATAAACTGGGTGTTGGTTAGACCGCTCTTCGCGGCTTTTTGGGTATAAAGGATTGTGATCTAGGTTCTTCAAGATTAAACTATATATATATATAATTGAATTTTGCTTATGATTTCTTGAGATCAGTATCCTAGCTCACGAATTGCACTGTCTCATCAACGAATCTGAAATTCTGAAATGGAAGCTTTGAGAGCAATATTTCCTAGCCCTGACATAAAGAGGTCTGCAAACAACGGACCTAGTGAAGAGCCCATCACTATTCCCTTCTCGTGACGTGAAATAGTATCGTTAAACGTAATCCGCCGGTGCCCAAAAGAACTACAACTGTTTCAAATCCTCCGTCCATGGATCATCGGGATCGTTGTACCATTGGGTCGGACGTGCTTTGACGTGGTTGCATCTATCCCATCCACCAACAATCTGTTCTGTTTTGTCCGTTTCCCGCGTTCATTTTCTCTAACTTATTCAGATCATTCACAAATACTGGTCACGCTGTGAAAACCTATACCTTTATCCGGACTGGGAACTATGCAATCCGGTTTGTACTGTAGCTTTTCGACAGACTCCCGCAATTTATAAAAACTAAACACCAACCAAAAAACTAGACCCATACACA